ATAATAATTTTATTGATAATTATCATGAGGAGTCCTTAACTAGGATGTAGTTAGGCAATTAAATATTCATGTATGCGTAAATTTATTACCATAATTGCATGAGTCACATAAATTTATGTTTTAATAAAACAAGTAGCCCCCCCCCCACCCAAGCCCAATTTCCTACGGGAAACACTAATAACCCAACCAAACTAAGGTAAAACGACAACGGTTTGGATCAGTCCAAACTTGACCCAACATCGGGTTATAAATTTAGCTATTTTAAACCCAGAAGTTTTTAGTGTGTAATAAGTCTTTGCAAAATTTCTTTCAAAGCCACAAATTTATCCAATTTCAGTCCAAAATAATCAAAAAGCTAAAACCAGATAGTTCTAGGAGCAGAAAAAACAGATTTTTTTGTGGGAAAGTTTAAATGTTGGTCAAATTCTYTTCCAACAGATCTGCTTTATGAGAGGTCTTTTAGTTTTACCTGAATATTTCAGACAGAACTAAAACACACAAAACAATGCTGACAGCACATAAAAAAGGAGAGTGTAGAAAAAAATGAATGAACGAACATGTAAATTCAACAAATGTGTTCTATGGGGCATAGGGGCATGTGGGCATCCACACAACTCAGGAAACCAAACATGCAAACTAGGGATGCACCGATTCACATTTTTCACTTTGATTYAAWCAGATACCTGAAATTTGKATWTCRGAGAGCTATGGATCATCATTATCTTTCACAGCAGAGGGAGAAAGCCATCTCCARTCAATACGATGAAAAGTCATTGTAACATTCTCAGAGGCTATATACTCTAGCAGACTGTCCTTGTGGGCCACAGTTTTCATTTAAGAGACAATTCCCTCAATTCTTTGCGTTCACGTGGTAGGAAGCAATTATTACGCAAGACTGTTTCACGTTATCACTGCAATATACCCTGGTGAACTCTGAGTCAATTTTGTGCTTTATAATTAGCTTCCGCTAAGTTTTATGAACATAAGTGCTTTAGAAATTGAGCACCTAACTTTTGGATTAGTGCTGTCCACCACTGCTGGTATGTTCAGGAGCCATTAAACCCTTTCGTCCATCCATCCATTCATTATCTGTACATGCTTATTCCTTTCAGGGTCACGGGGGTCACTGGTGCCCATATCCAGCAGTCACAGTGCGAGGGGCGGGGTACACCCTGGACAGGTTGCAAGTCCATCACAGGATCACACATAGAGACAAATGAGACAAACAACCATTCACTCTCTCACTCACACCTAGGGACAATTTAGAGTTATCAATTAACCTAACAGTCATGTTTTTGGTCTGTGGGAGGAAGCCGGAGTACCTGGAGAAAACCCACCCATGCACTGAGAGAACATGCAAACTCTACCCAGAACGGTCCCTGGGCTGGGATTTGAACCAGCAACATTCTTGCTGAGAGGCATCAGCTCTACCAATTGAGACACTATGTCGCCACCCTTTAGTCCTTGGATGCTTAATATGATTGTTTTCTTGTTTTCTTACGCTAAATCATCCAAAAATGGAAAAAGCAAATGTGTTGATTGAGGAGGTTGCATTGTCGAATGTCCTGTCACGTTACAAACTTCTGGTTGTTGCGACAACTTAATTTCGAGGACATGTTTGAATTTTTAAAGTGACTTAAATATGAAAAAGGTATTTTTTCACACATTTTGTAGAATAAGGAAATAAATTACCGTCTAAATGTTTGTTCAAAAAGAGAATGATTATTAGGAGGTTGCTTAGCTGCAAATGAATATATTGGTATTATGTTTGTTCCCACACACACACACTCACTCACAGTGGGAAAACCCCTTAAAGTGAGACATATGTACATACCAGACACTGACACACACACACACACAGACTGATCCTGAGTGAGATTCTCATCATAACCCTTAACATTCCTCGAGGCCATTTTCTGTGTGATCATTGGTCAGCCTGCCAGCGTGAATCTCTGTGACTGTACATTATWCACTGTTGTAAATACCGCACGAGCATTAGACAAGGGTCTGCCGGCTGCAGAATAAGGAGCAGAATACCCCCGACCCCCGACAGCTTCTGAAAGCTGGACGCCAGACCTGGTTTCAGACGCGGAACAAGAAGCATCTCTGCCAAACAGCTGTCTAAAGATGTCGAACGTGACAAAGAAACAGTTGTTCAACTTGTAAACTCTTCCACACTGGTTACTGGTCCTGCTCAAGATGAGATCATGGAAAGCATCAACGTCAGTGAAACAGGAAGGCTAATTTAAAAAAAATCGTAAAAAAAATTACGTTTTATTTTATTTTTAAAATGCGTGACCTGAAAACATGTTTGTACACTGTTGTTAGACGGCAGCACCAAAACAAAAGGGTCCAGAGTTTAATGATGCTTGAAATTCTCAAAACATACGTCTTCTGGTTACTAAATTAGCCCATGGTTATTGTTCAAACTTTCATTGACAAAAAAAATCGATAAATTGGATTTTTTAATCAAAACAAACTTCACCATTTTATTTTTGACTAGTCAATACTGTATGTGATCACAGGGATTAAACCAATACTTAACAGTAATATACTCAAAAGGGTGAAAAGGATCATAATATTAACAGATTTGAGCGAAGAGACAGAGGGGTGAAACTGTTTTATTCACTCTGCTACATTGCTACAAGTCTTTTCYCGTTAAAAGGTGGGGCATCAGATCAGTTTTACAGATCAACATTTCAACCTTTTAATAATTAGACTCATAACTACTGAAGTGTGAACTCATTTACAGGGAACCCTTTTTAAAGTGTTTATTTATTACTGCAAGCAAGGAAATGATTTTATTGAATTTCACATCAGCTTAGAAATGTTCAGTCAGCCCTGATGCTGCTGGCTGTCATCACCCCAGAGAAGGACTGCCTTGTGGTGGTACAGATGAGGCCTTACCCTGTGAGTTCACAGGGTTCCTACAGCTTAAGGCAAGGCTAATTTAAGACTTTTTAAGACCTAATTAATGCCACTTATAATGAAATTTAAGACCAAATTTACAACAAAACACAAATGGAAAAAAAGCCCGTTAGCAACAATTTTAGCCAAATATTTAAACAAAACGAGCTGTAAGAGGCATTCGGTCAATTATTTTAAAAATCAAATAAAAGTTACCAATTACTGTAATATTTGAGACGAATTAGTCATCCTACGTACGTAACGTGTTAACGTTTTTAAGACCTCTGAAAGATTGATTTAAGACATTTTAAGGCTAATTAAGGGCTTATTTTTGGATTGATRAATTCAATGCCTTTTAAGACTTTTTAAGGATCCGCAGGAACCCTCCTGGTTCAGCAGACAGGTGTGCTACCTGTTCAGTGCGCTGAAGGGCGGCTTGTGGACCCTGGTCTCCAACCAAGGGTCAGTTCAGGTCGTCAGCTGTYTGAAAGTCACACCAAGGGTGGGAAGTTGCTGAAGCAGGTCGGAGTTCCGCTGATGAGGAAAAGTTGGGCTTTTGCTCCGGCTCTCTTCAAACCAAAAAAGTACATCTTGCAGTTTAAAAAGAAAAAATCTCTTCTTTTTATTTTGACCAGATTGAGGGATTTATTTGTTAAAATAGTGTAACCGGATCCAAACTGCAATGATGTCACCAAACTCAGGGCTTCACTTGGTCAGTGCAGTAGTTGCGTTTCTGGTTTATTGCCCCAGGATACACCAGGACCAGACGAAAAGGAAGGCTGGGGAAGCAGCGCTCCGCCACAGGTCGCTTGAGGCTCACTGGGACTGTGTCAGGGTCCGAAAGGGCTGCTGGTGAGACGTTTGCTGCTACAGACAACCTTCAGTCAGATTCTGAAAATCAATCCTTGCTATAGGGACTTAGGCTTTTCCATTTGCTGGAATTTCATTTGGCTTCTAACAAAATCATTACTAAGAAAATGGTTCTTTACTCAGGAAAAGATGAAGATGACGCATCAGGCTGTACTTTGAACAGGACAAAATAACTTAAAAATTGCCTTTTTTTCTGGACAACCTGACAGATTTCTGCTCTAAAATTATTTAAAACAAAGGGATTATATTTACAGAACCTTAGGTCATATGGCCATTTAGTTTTTATATTTAATCAATTAATTAATTACATCTATTACAGTACAGTACACTATCCAAATAGCAAAAACTGGGTTTATGTTCCTATAATCCCACGTAGAATTTAATTTTGCTCGTATTTATGATAAAGTCCTAATACTTGAAACTAACATTCTCATGGTGAGAAAATTATGTTTATTTTTTTTTTTTGGGGGGGGGGGGAGTGAAATGGAGACAAATTTTTGCTCTAATCTTGGTCATACAAATATGTTTATTAGTGTTTGTTTAATTCCAAGAACTAAAGCAGTGGCGTACTCTCTCTGTTAGCAGGAGTTTGGTTATGAATGCAAGCTGGATGTGTCTGTWTGCTAATGATGATGCTCCGGATGCACTAGATTTTAATACAATGTTAGATCTTTAGATACAAAAATCCAGGTAACTGTAGGGGGAATGCTGAACTCTTACCCAGTTGCTACAGTCAGAAAATCTTTCCAAATGATCTTCAATTCAAAAAAAAAAAAAAGAAGCTCAACAAAACAGAAACGGAAGTTAGTTCATCTTGAGATTGATTTAACATATTTTAGCAGTTCAAATAAATACACACAGCGCAGCTYATTACAATACAAACTTTGGAGTTTAAATGTGGAAACGTTGTTATGTGACCTCAGATTGGTTACAGAGTTTTAACCCACATCCTCTAATTAAATGTTAAAATGTCAAGTGGAATTTGTTTCAGGCTGGAAATGTTCCTGCTGTTAGGTTCACTTCTGGAGCCAAAATACCTACAATGACTCAACATGTACAGGAAGGGAAAATACAGCTTTGATTTCTGTACTTACCAGAAACAAAGTGTTTCATCTTCCACTTTCCGCGAGCCCTAATGTTTTGCCAAACACTTTTATTARAGTACTACAAATAATACTCATCTTTGCAGATAGAGGGGGCTGATATTTTCTGTCTGTGTTTAC